ACGGGGTAGGAACATATATCCAAAGTCTCAGCCTCCCAGCTTTCCTGGTTGCTGAGATGAAAGTGGATGACAAAACGCACTCGCTTTCCACACACACACACACACACACACACACACACACACTGTCTCTCGACAATATGCGTTTTTGCTAGCAAAAAAATCGTGCTTCGATGGTGCGGTTCGAAATTTTCCCAAGATTACAATAGAAATCTTTGTTTTATCCATTAATGTGGGTAAGAGGGCATTTCATAATGCAGCTGTGGCTCCGTTGGTAATATGAAATGTAAAGTGTGGCACTGTCAGTAATCTGCTTGTAGGTGCGTGCGCTCTCAGCGCTGATGACGTACAAATGTGCAGTAGTGGATGTACCATTCGGCGGTGCTAAAGGTGCTGTGAAAATCGACCCACGGAAGTATTCGGAACATGAAATCGAAAAAATAACTCGTCGCCTGACGATTGAGCTTGCAAAAAAAGGATTTCTGGGACCTGGAGTGGATGTTCCGGCTCCAGATATGGGAACGAGTGAACGTGAAATGGCCTGGATTGCCGATACTTATGCACAGACTGTTGGACAACAGGATAGAGAAGCGTATGCCTGTGTTACTGGAAAACCGATTGTCTCCGGCGGTATAGTTTCCAATTGAAGTAAAATTCAACAGGAGCTCTTTACCGTATTGTTCCCAGTTGTACGAGATGAATTGTGTGGGCCTAAAATTTTTATTTCCTTTTGCAGAATTGCAGGAATTCGGGGAAGAACAACTGCTACTGGACGTGGAATCTGGCAAGCACTGGATGCTTTTGTTAACAGCGAGCAGTACATGAGGAGGGTAGGATTGACCACTGGCTTGCAAGGAAAAAAATTTATTACTCAGGTGCTCTTCAGTTCAACTTTATTTTTTTTTTTATTGATGCTTAGGCTGCGTCACATTTGGTCCTGTTGCCCTCACTAAATTGGTTTTCGGCCTCATGGAAGCAATCGCACGTGTAGACGTTTATGCACTTTGCATAAGTGTCCCTTGCATGCATGCAGTATATCTTGCGAAAAATCTGAAACTTTTGTGAAATTTTTTAAAATAAAAAGCGTGATTGACAACTGGCACGAAATATCAGTGCTCGAAGTCAGCAATTCAACCCTACCTATATTCATTCAACGGATTTGCTCTAAATCCTGTTGTTGGCTATATTAACTGTGTGTTGAATTGCGCATAAACGTACAAAGAGTCAATAAATGGTTGAAGTACTGTCACGTCGCGTATTAATGGCGATACTGATTGCAATATCCATAAAACAAACTACTGGATATGCCAACGTCTGCAGTCTGGAAGCAGAAACAAAAAGAACTGCCTTTTCGCGAAATGTATGCAAAATTTTAAGGAAGTAGAATTATAAGTGAGTAAGCGACCGGACTACACTACATATGTTCGTCGTTCCTA